CAAATGTCACCTCCTCAGAGAAGCCTTCTCTGACCACCCTACCTCATATTGTCCCATCCCAGCCAGTTTCACTCCATCTCAGGAGTGGACAAGCTTCAATCTGTGAGCCAAGTCTGGCCTGCTGCCTGGTTTTATGAGCAGAATTTTACTGGAACATTGTCACGCCCATTAAAGTATTGTCTCTGATGGCAGATTTGAGTAGTTGAGACAAGGGACTGCGTGGCCCACAAAAATCTGAAATATTTACTATCTGGCTCTTTAACTAAAATGTTTGCTGACCCCTGATCTATCATATCAAGTTGTTACCTAGCCTCTGTAAATACACTTATCAATATCCTTTATCAGCTTACGTATGCATTTATAGATTTAGCTGTCTCTTTGTTACTTGCTGTGTGTTTCATATGGTCCCCGCAAGAATGTAAACTCCATACTAAGTGTCTGGTCCTCTACAGGTATCTCCAGTACCTGAAGCAGTGCCAGGTACAGAGTAAGCACTCAGTAAAAATCCGTTCAATGACCGGGTCTCTGGAGGGTAGGACTGTGCACTCTCTGTTCTCGGCTCCTTCCTGAAGATTTGGGGCTGGCAGAAGGGAATGGGTAGGTACTGGGAGCTGCCTGCTTTGGGCCAGACTGGTAGCCAAAGGGAAAGCCACAAAGCAGGAAGAGGTATATTCCCAGGCCAAGTGTTTCAACTTAAGCAGCCACTGCGTGTGAGTCACCAGCTGCGTGGAGTGGACCCACACTCCCGCTGCCTCTCCACCCGCTCCCCAAAGGTGTTTGCGCTCGTCCCCGAGGGCCATCACCGGCCTCACCCAACACCCAGTCCCACCCCCAGCTCCCTTTCCCACAGAGCTGCCTTGTGGCTTGTTTAGGCAGTGACTCGCCCACGCATTTTCTTAAATTGCACAAGTAACACGTGAATCCTTGTCCTTACGAAAATTAGAGCAGAGAAGATAATAACAGCTAGTGTTTGTTGGGTGCCTGTGATGTGCTGGGAGTGTCCTGGGAGTGGGGCAGAGAGGCCCACAATTTGCTCTCCGGAGCTGGTGTGGGCTGGCTCTAGAACACCGTTAGATGTGCCCCAAACTCTCTGAAAGCTTTATGCACATCATCTTATTTAAACCTCACAAAAGGGGGCACCTGGGTGTGGCAGTCAGTTAAGCGCCTGACTCTTGGTTTCAGCTCAGGTAGTGATCTCAGGGTTCTAGGATCGAGCCCTGCATTGGGCTCTGTGCTCCATGCTCCATGTCTGCTTGAGCTTCTCTCTCTCCCTCTGCCCCTCCCCCTGCTTACACTTTCTCTCTCTCTCTAAATAAGTAAATAAACAAGTCTTTTTTTTTTTTTAAAGATTTTATTTATTTATTTGACAGAGAAAGACACAGCGAGAGAGGGAACACAAGCAGAGGGAGTGGGAGAGGGAGAAGCAGGCTTGCCTGCGGAGCAGGGAGCCCGATGCAGGGCTCGATCCCAGGACTCTGGGATCATGACCTGAGCCGAAGGCAGACGCTTAACGACTGAGCCACCCAGGCACCCCTAAACAAGTCTTTAAAGAAAAATAAACCTCACAAAAGTAGACGAGATAGATGGTATTATTCTTCTCCTTTTAGAGGTGACGAAATAGAGATTCAGAGAGGTTAAGGGTTTTGCCCAAAGTCACACAGTTAATAAGCTGCAGAGCCGGAACTTAAATCCAGGTGGTCTGGCTTCCAGAGCCTATGATCTTAACAAATAAGAGTAATGTCCCCTTCGACCACCACACGTATATCTGCCTCCCTACCCCATAGACACAACCACTATTATCAGTTGGGAGGGTACCATTCGGATATTTGTCTACACATGTAAATATATGTAAATAGAACATGGAAATATATAAGGTTGTGTGTTGTTCTGGGTGGCACATTGTGGTATGTATAGTTCTGCAGCCTGTGTTTTCATTCAGCAATATGTCTCGGCCCTACCTCATTCTTTCTCATCGTTGGATGGCATTGATATGCCAATGAATTGTTTAGCATTTCCCCCTCTGGTAGATGATCAGGTGGTTTCCAATTTTTGTTACTGTAAACAACGCTGCCATGGACATCCTTGGCTGTGCCTCCTTTCTGACCTCAAGGTCAGAAAGTTTCCTTGACTAGATGTAGAACTTGCCGAATTACATGGGAACTTACTTAATAACTTATTAATGAGGTTGTAGCTTTTAGGTGCATGCTAGCTGGTATGACAGACAGACATCCAAGATGGCCCCCAATGACTCCCAGTGAATCATGGCATTCATACCCTTGTGTGATTCTCCCCTGGAACTTGCTTCCAGCTAACAGAATATGGTAAAAGTGGTGGGGTCTCATTTCTGTGATCAGGTTCCCTGAGACTGCACTTCCCATCTTGCTAGCGGGCTCTCTCTCTTGCCTTCTCGGCTTGCCTGTTTCGATGAAGCAAGCTGCCATGTTGGAGAGGCCCACATAGAAGGATCTGAGGGTGACCACTGGCGATAGCCAGCTGGAAACTGAGGCCTTCAGTCCAACAGGCCCCAACTCTGACAGCAGTGAGAAGATCCTTGGGTCTTCAGGTGAGGCTCCAGCCACCGCCCATACCTCGATTGTAACCTGTCAGAGACTCTGAAGCAGAGAAGTCAGAGGATCCATATACAGCCTCCTGACCCACAAAAACCATGAGATCAGAAATGTGTGTTGTTTTAATCCACTTCATGTGTGGTAATTTGTTATGCAGCAATACTGCTGGGACGAAGCCAAGGCTGAGATAGGGATTTAAGTGTAGTGATGTATTTGGGAGGTGATCCCAAGAAGCACCAGTAGGGGCGTGGGGAAGCTAGAGAAGAAAGGGAAAGAAGCCGATTCAGGTGCATCACTAGGCAGATATGGCTGCTGCAGAACTTCTGGAAGATGGTGAAGAACACGCCTCAGGGTCTCCCCTACCCCCACCCCGAGGAAGTCTGGGTATGTCTCCTCTGCTGTCAGCTGTCACTGGCTGAGGGCTGCTCCTTCCCTTGGAGCCTCCAGCCTGCCTCCTACTTGGGCTGAGGGGGGCATGCCTTCAGGTACGGGTGCTCACGGTGGGACACCAGCAACCTTTATGGGTACCCCTAGTGCCCAGGGGATGCAAGTGGGACATACGGGAAAGAACAGACACCTGGACGTCAGACAGATCTATGTTTCCGTTCTGATTCCACCAGTTAGTAGCCGTGTGACATCAAACAAATCGCTAAGTCCCCCTGCACTTCATTTTTCTTTTCCTTTCAAGGGGAGTAACAGAACTTTCCTCACTCCATGTGAGAGACGCATGGAAGAAGCGTCCAGCTCCATTTTTACACGTCCTTAGTTCTCACCGACATTTCATTCATGTACTCAACAAATATTTACCGAGCACGTCCTACATGACAAGCCCTGTGCTGGGCTCTGGTGGTAGAGTGGTGAAAGGGGCACACAAGCTCCTCATGGAGCTTACATTCTAGAAACAAGTTAATAAATAAACAAGATAATTTCACGTAGAGATGGGGTGGCCAGGGGAGACCTCTCTAAGGAGATGTCATTTGAATGGAGATGACAGGATGAGCAGGAGCCAGGTGAGCAAAGAGAAAGGGAAGGAACATTCCAGGCCAGAGAAATTGTAAGTACAAAGGCACTGAGGTAGGGACAAATCTGATATTTCCGAAGGACAGAAAAGAGGATGGAGAGGTTGTTAGTTTCTCTGAGGCCCAGACTCTTCTGGAACCCATCACCAGATTACCTGTTGGGTGCCAGGTCTAAAAGGACAGAAAAAAGGCTAATTCCAGCCCTGCTGACAATCCCACACTTAGCCTCAGGATCCGTTTACTCTTTGGTCTTGAGACTGAAAAACATGCAGCTGGAACCTCTGCGTGATGGTACCTGCTCCCCGCTTCTATCTCAAGAGCCCTGTGAGGCAGGCAAAGGGATCATTATTATGCCCATTTTACAGATGAGAAACCTGAGGGTCAGAGAGGACTATGGGATTTTCCCAGAGTCATAAATATTAACGTTGACTTTTCTCCTACCCAAGAAAGATTCTATGACTTCAAAGAAGAGAGATGGAGGGCGCCTGGGTGGCTCAGTTGGTTAAGCGACTGCCTTCGGCTCAGGTCATGATCCTGGAGTCCCGGGATCGAGTCCCGCATCGGGCTCCCTGCTCAGCAGGGAGTCTGCTTCTCCCTCTGACCCTCCCCTCTCTCGTATGCTCTCTCTCTCTCTCTCTCTCTCATTCTCGCTCTCTCAAATAAATAAATAAAAATCTTAAAAAAAAAAAAAAAAGAAGAGAGATGGGGAAGGGGGAGTGCTAATTTCCCTTGACCCAGGCCCTGGGGTCATGTTGTCAAAGACCTTAAGAAACTTGGCAGTATCAGACGCCCTCTGCTGGCTGTCACTGGCCCATCCTGGGGATGAGCGCCAAGAGAGTAAGTTTCCAGGCATGGAGGAGGCCCTGTCCCCTGCTGCTCCCTCTCACTGCCCACCTGGAAATGCCAACGTGACCCTGGAAAGGAGTTCAAGTGCTGAGTTCCAATCCCCACTCTAGTGCTTGCTGGCTCCATTATGAAGGGGAAGGAAAACAAAATCAAAATATCTCTAAATTGGGAAAGAGAGTCCCTGAGTTCTAATCTCTTCTATTACACTCACCTTGTTATAGGGTGGGTGCTCTTGGTTATCTATTGCTGTGGAGCAAACCACCCCCAAAGTAGGGACCTAAAACAAAGATTTATTACTATCTCACACCGTTCCGTGGGTTGACTGGGCTCAGCTGGGTGGTTCCTGCATGCAATCTCTTGTATCAGTACAGGTGGAGGGGGACAGGGGCTGGGGTCCTTTGAAGGCTCCACTGGACTGGCCATCCACAGTGGCCTCTCCACTCAGTGTCTGGGGCCACAGTGCTCCTTACGTGGCCTGGACAGAGCAGCCTGAACATCTTACCAGCAACTTGGGACTCAGAGAGGCGGGAAGCAGAAGCTGCTAGGCCAGTTAGGGGTTACCCGTGCAATGGGTGAGTGTCACTTCTGCCAAAAGAGTCACAGAGCCCACCCAGACTCCAGGGAGTGGAGAAATGGACCCCATCTCTTGACCAGAAGTGGCCAGGTCACATGGCAAAAGAGCACGTGGGCCACCTCCCTGGAGCACCCTCGGAAAACACAATCTGCTGCCGTGGAACACAAGGAGCCAGGTGAAGCCTTCGGCTTTCAAAGAGCAGGAGCGATTCTGATTTCATCTGGGAAGGACCTGGAGGAGGAGGCTGCATTCTCTGGATGCTACTCCAAGAAGAAGGGGAAGGAGAAATGGCAATAATCTCTACAGCATGGCAATGTTATTTTGAATCAGCCAGAGCTACATGCAGCTCTCAGCTCTCTCACTGAGGACAGGGTGACTTGGCGGCACCCCATCACCTCTTCACTCTCCATCTGAAGGAAACCGGGGGCTGGAAGTGCTCTGTGGAGCTGCCCGCCCACAGACCCATGCCCGGTCCTCACCCTTTCCCTCTCCTGGTCATCATAGGACAGGGAAAGCGTTTCCTCCTGGTGACAGCACGGCCACCATCTGGCTGCAGAGGGTTTTGTGTACATCTGTGATGATTCCTGGGAGGTCAGTGCCAGGGCCCAGGCACTTGCGGCCAAAGTCACCCAACCTGCTTCCTCTGGAGCTGCCCCTGAGGTGTTGGGAGCAGACTCCACCTGGGAGCCCTTCCCTGAGAGTGGTGTGGATGGTGCTCCCTATCTCCTCCACCCAAGGTCAGGAGGCAGATCAGGGGAGAAAGCAGCTAGAGCCCAAAATTTCAGGAGGCACTACCTCGGGGCTGTGTGTGTTTGTGTAGGATCTCTCTGTCTCTTTCCCTCTCTCCCTCTAGGACTGGTTATATAAGCATATAACCTTCCCAGAAGCCCCCCAGCAACAGCCATTCATGACCTCATTAACTGGAATTAGTCACTTGCTATTCCAGCCCAATCACGGGTAAAGCGGTTGGGATTATGAAGGCTGGGTGAGATGTTTTCCAAACCGTAGATCACCACTGTGGATCAGGAACCAAATTAGCAGAGTCTAACCAGTATTTCTAAACAACAAAAAAATGTCATAGAATAGAGAAAGAACAGCATACATTGCTCATGGTAAGCATAAACACGAGTTTGTAGACCTTGTTTCAGGTGTGTGTGTGTGTGTGTGTGTGTGTGTGTGTGTGTGTGTGTGTGTG